TTCCTCCTCTTTTTGGAATAAATAATTTTTAATCCTCCTTTTTTGTTTTGCAAGTTGCTTTTATCTGGGTTAAACTGCTATCCGTAATCACAAATGGGTATGATCAAAGTAATCGTCGCACCATTGATAAGAATATTGTTATGGGGAAAGAAATGCAACTATCACAATTAAAGCAATGAAAAAGTTGTATGCCTACAGATGAATGAATAGGTTAAAGACCTCTCTAGTAAATGACATTGCAGGCCTCAATAATATTATTGATTTCTTTTCATATCTAACAAGTTTCATGAGGTAATTCAATGTGTAAATCAGAAATATTTATACTTAAAGCGGGGAATGTTCCAATGGAAATCTTGGCGCGTGGGCACGAAGCAATGGAAGCTTTTAATGATGCTCTAGCTGAGGGAGAAGCAGAGGTTAATCAAGGAAGGACAGTTTTTATGGGCCTCGAGAGAGTCGGCAAGACTTCTACTATCAAGTCATTTTTAAGGAATACGTAAGCTAAATATATTCAGTGTTTGCTTTCGCTATGTTAGTTAACCAGTTGAAATATTTGAAGCCTTTAATTATGTTTTTTTAAGGAATTCAAATATTCTTTGTATTAAATTCAATAATCAACAACTTAAATGAATGTATCATTCATTAATATCAGTCCATTTCTTCACATTTATTTATATGTTAATTTAAATATGTACCTGTACGTTCTGTACAGTAATGTGTATCTATATTATGCTTTCTGTAGTAGCAATATCTTTAGATTAATCATTTCATTTTGCTTTAGTTTTGATCCAAATGAGGGTATTACGGATGCAATTGCCAACACAACGGTTTGCACCCATGAATTACACGATGAATTAAATTGGAAGGAAACATCACCTGATCATTGTAAGTAAAGTACCGTATAAACATTTTTGTAAAGTAAATCTTTGCCGAGCCATGTGGCTCATATGGACTGAGGATTGAAACCAGACCTCGAGGTTGGGATCTCAAATCAATTACATTGTGCCAAACCGCTTTCACTAAACATGATTTTTTGTATATTACCTGCACATTTGGGAATTGTAAATAATTTGTCAATAAATTATGCAGGCCACCATTTACCACAGGTACAGTAAGTCTAATTTCAATTATTGAACTAAGAAGATTAATCATAAAGTAAATTATATATTATTCTAATAAATGATTTATTTACTCCCAACAGCTGGAACCAATAGCATGTATGAAGAGAAAATGGTGGATTCAATAGCGAAAAAATTATTCGAAAAGTCAAATAAGGAGAACGTAGAAGTAACAGAACAAGTGAGATTTACACGCTAACTATTTAGTGTAGTTTCATGTATATTTTTTTTTGTTTGTTAATTTAATGAATGTAATTGCAAGTACTTAATAGTTAGGATATTTCTTATTTCTTTTTGTTTATTTATTTCAAGGGCCTGTTATCACCAGCTAATGCAGAGACGAAATACAATAGGGGTAAGACATTCATGTTTGCTGTTTTCTAAGAAATTGATTAATTTATACATCATTTTTTATGCAACGTTTCACAAAGAGGGCTCCACGAGGCATAAGCTTACCGGCACTTCTTAAAAACAATACGCAGCAGAGTACAAGTACATAGACATGGCATAATTTAAACAAAAACAACCTGGAACAGCGCATGAGGTCGTTATATCATGCGCTAAATCGACAATTGATATTATTAAAGGTCAAATAACTTCCAGCAAGTAAAGAATGTTCACACTGACTCGGAGACTTCATTAAAAATATTCTGAAATTAACCACGAGTCAACCTATGCCTATAGGGTATCTATACAAAAGAAAACATTATTGTACTACACTTTGCTTTTAATATGCATTTTTAAATTTTTTATTCTGATATTTCGATAAGGGCAATCATCATTAAATACAGACGCCAGAACCCCGAAAATAGAACCAAATATTAAAGAAAGGACAGAGACAAAATCGATGGAAGAGGTCCCAGAAAACATCGCAAGTAAAGTTCAGAATGTACTCAAGTTCACAAGAGATGCGGCAAGTGACTGGAAAAAATCTGGCAACGATTTTATAATGAACATCTGGGATTTCGGAGGACAATCGATATATCACGTGATACAACGAGTAAGTCATTATAGTAAATAATAAACAAAATTATAGTTATTATTAAATTACAAACAATTTTTAGTTATTTCATTCAGTTTTAGATAGTAAAAAGTAATTGATTAAGAATCATTTTCTTGTAGATTTTCATGGTATCTTTTGCCGTTGTTTGTGTGGTATTTAACCTAGAAGATGATCTTGACGCCCCCGCTAAAGTCAGGGATCCGACTACCGTAAGCATTACGTCTTAACATTATCTCTTAGCAAGTTTCGACTCAGAATATATTATTTAGTACGATATTTTATTATTGATTTCAGGGTGAAATGTATCAACATCGAATGACATATCTTCAGTTTATTCTGTACTGGATTCGTTCAGTTTACACCAACAGTAGAGATTCAAAATTGGATGATGGGCAACTTTCACCGC